GGGGAAGTCTTCCCAGTTAGCACTCTTTCTAGATTTCTAAAACAATTGCTTGTTTTTACAATTTTGGACCTATACAGGAATATAATAATGCAGCATGAAGTCTTTGTCAGACTTATTTCAGATTTGGCATTATATTTGTAAGATTCTTCCATATTGTTGCATGTAATTTAAATCTATTATTTCTCATTTCTGTATGTTAGCTCATAGTGTGAATGTGTTTTTCCATTTTCTTGTTGATGGACAGACATATTGATAGTTTCCAGTTTGGGCTATTTTGAATACAGCTGCTATGAGCATTCACATTTTTTGGTGAACTTGGACACATTTCTGTTGGCATATCTCTAGGAGTTTGAATTTCTGGGTCACAGGGCAAGAACATATGCAATTTTTAGTACATACTGTCAAGAGTTTTCCAAAATGGTTGTGACTAATTTATGCTCCCATAAGCAATATGTGTAAGTTCTCAGTGCTTCACATTGTCACTACTTGATTTTGTCTGTCTTTCCATTTGCACACAAAATAATATGCTATACTGTTAGATTGCGGTTTTAATTTAAATTTTTCTAAATACTAGAAATATTGAGTATCTTTTCAAGTGTTTATTTGCCATTTTAATATTTTTGTTTGTGAAGTACCTGTTTTGTCTTTATCCATTTTGTTTTCTTGCTAGACTGGTTGACTTTTTCTTACTAATCATGTAGGAATTATTTATATATTTTATATGAGTTCCTTGTCAGATACATGTATCACAGATATTTTCTTCTGATGTGTGGCTTGCATTTTCTTTCTATTAATAGTATACTTTGATAAATGAAATCTAAATTTTGTTGTAATTTAATTTTAAGTCTTTTTCCTCATACTTAGTGCTTTTTGGACCATTGAATAAATATCAGCCTACTCAAAAATCCTAAGATACTCTCCTGTCTTATATTTTTTTAATGCCTTTATTTTCCAAAGACATCTCTTTTCTATGGGTCCTCCACCTGAATGGACAGAATAAATCAGTTATTTTTCTAAATTTCCATAATGCTATATATCACTTTCATTACCACTATTATATTTTTCATTACCTTGTCCCAGTCATTCAATTATCTGAATTCTTACTGGCCTTTTTACTGAATCCTGGTCATAATGTTTCCTAAGTATCCCTAGAATTTGTCTATTTCTTCCCACCCCAACTGCTACCTTCATGGTCTTAATCTGTGACATTTTATATTAAGAACTCAATAGTCCCTTGTCACCTACTCCTAATCTACCCCTTGCTACATAATTGTCCACACAGAACCGAGTGGCATTCCAAAATACCCTCTTTATGCCACTAAACCCTTCCATGATGTCTTCTTCTCTAAAATTAATGTTCAGTTCACTAACATACTACAGAGGCTATATAGGATTTGAAAGATTATCTTGGCTTACTCACCACTGATGCCTCTGTTTCAGTTTCATAAGACTCTTTAATTTCCTTGAATGCTCCTTCATAATGACTCTTCTGTCTGCCACTGCATCTATGCCACTAAACCTACTAAACCTTTGGGTCTCAACCTGTGTATCTGACTCCCTAGTACATTAACTCCTCATGTTATCTGGTACCATACAACCCCATAATTTTCTCTATTAAACCCCACTACATTTACTGTTCATTTGAATCTTATTTTCCCTGACAGAATGTGTATTTCCTTGGAGTAGAAACCACACCTGTCTTGTTTACCACTTATCATTTTACCTATCTCATTACTAAGATGGATTCTTAAAATATGTGTGCATAAATAAACACACGTAAGTTAACTTAGAGTGATGGGTGCTAATATCTGCAGCATCTAATGTAAGATTAAGCATATAGTTTCAATAAATATTTAATGATTTATCATTTTCATAAAATCCTAGAAACAACATTGGAAAGGAATTAAAGCTACTTATTTCAGTCACCCAATTCAACTGAACAATGCTTAAATAATCTCTATAACATTCCCACTAAATATCATCTATTTATAACTCAGATAACATGACTCACTACATCATCCAGTAGGTTATTCCAGATTTGGGCATGAATGTCATTAGGAAGGTCTGTCTTAATTCTGGAGATGGAGATTAATGGTAAAGCACCTACTGAGATTGCATGAGTCCCTAGGTTTGATTTCCTAGCTCCAATTTTTTTCAAAAGTCTATTTTATACTGAGTTAAATGTTGGGATCCTTCCATACCCTATTCCCCACTAGCTTGAGGTTGGCCCATTTTATTCATATTAATGAAGCTACGTGTCCTGAAAGACATCCATTCTTGTATTTTAGGACAAGTCCTTCATACTTCAAGTAAACCTCTCTTCACTATTCACACAACACTCTCCTTCAGCACATCATAGCTCCCTCACCATTCCCCTTCAAGTGTGATGCTTGGACATGGACCTAATCCTCCAGTTCTTCCTGGCCCAATATAGAGAGGAAAGAGCTGTCGGCTTCTGTTTTTTTTTTTTTTTAGAATGCATGCCTCCAATAATGGAATCAATGGCAGATCTGGGTTTTGAAGGAAAGACTCACATAGACTCATTGGTTTCAGAGGAAAGAGTTTCAAACTTCAATACAAAACTCAATAGAAATTTAAAATGAAAAATCATGCAGATAGGAGGTAGGGAATCTGGACCGTAAGCTTTATTGACTTCAGGATAAATCATACTTTAACTATCTCTAAAATCTCAAAAACTTCCTTAGCAGTAAGGTCCTGTTAATCCAACCAAGTTTATTCCAATCACAATTTAGAGTTCTTTTAACCCTCAGCATTCTCAGCAAAGTGATGAAACACACACCAGAGTCAATCTGCATGGATTCAAATCCTGGCTCTCAATTCACAAAGTTATTATGGACATCATTTAAACTAACAGGAAGATCCTGGCACACCCAAGGCAGATTTGTCTTTCTTATCCACCATTTTAACAGATATTACCAAATCATTCTCTCTCTACTAAAGGGAATAAATGTTTTCCTATATATTGAGGTTTTGTGGTGGTGGTGGTGGTGATGTGTGTATATATGTGTTAACATTAAAAATCTATCTTGGCCTGAATTTCCCCAAGAGGATTTCTCTTATTCAGAGCTTCCTAGTAGCACTACCAAGCCCTCCCTGCACCGTTTTCTAGCCATCTTCTATAACGTGAGTATGAATCAGAGTTGTCAAGGAACCAGAATATAAAAGTCATATTAGGCTCTATGCAGTTCTGACTACCAATTTCAACCTAGCTTCCTCCCTCTGAAATTCAGAATCACCTTTTGTCATATACCTTTAGGGAAGGTCACATTTTTAGTTTGCTCAAAGTTAAAGCTTGCCATTTTTTCTGACTATAAAGTTAATATATGATCATTGTAGGAAAGTTAGGAAAGGAACTAGAAGCTTGAAATAAATCATCTACAACCTAATCATCTAGAAGTAACCTCTTGTAACATCTGGGTATTTCCTTGCAGTATTATTTTTCTTCTCCTTTTACATTATTAAGATCATGGCATACATTGAATAAGAAACCTTCTGGTTGTTAATTAATATGAAAGCATTTTTACATATTCTGGAAAATTCACTATAAATAACATGTCAATACTTGCCTAATATTATATTCTACAAATGCAACACAATTCACTTAATTTTCTCATGTGGAAAACTGAGATGTTCACATAGTTTTAAACATATTATAAATCATGCCCCTTAAAATAATACCATGTATACCAAAATCCTTGTCATTTGTCCCCTATAACCTCCTCTTCCCTATAATAGGAATTACAAAGGTTTAAATTGTTATTTTAAAAGGTATACTTCTTCAAATACACACAGAGCACCTAACATGAACTTGACATATGATAGCCATTGAGTAAATATGAACATTTAAAAATAGCAACAAATTAATCCTGATGATGGTTATATTCTTAATAATCATATCTGAGAGTATCTTTCTCTTTATGATCCAGCCAGCATTAAGCATTGTCATTTGTAAACTCTGCTAAAATTGTGCATGTGTGTAATGAAGGTGACAATTTCCACTATACAAATAGCAATAATTAAGGAATAATATTTTGATGTGTTAAAGCGAACACAGGAGCTGCATGGTTTTACCTTACAATAATTCTTCTTTTCATCATTCCTATACTTCAAGTCTGGGTACTGAGAATGTGAGCACTTGTCTTTTTTCCAATGCGTGATGTGTAATTTAAATAAGTTAACTCTTGGTTTCAATTTCAGTATGATGACAACACTCAAATGATTTATTTTGTAAGTAATATGCTTAGTCAAATTCTTGATAAAGGTTTGTTTTTGGTAGTGTTATTGTTGATATGGGAGGAGGCAGAATGTCATTCACCTGTCCCTTTACTCCCTTGTATTACTTTCTGTTTTACCTAATTTTTTTAATTATATAGGACTCTTAAAATATGTTATGAAAAAGCTAGTGACTTTAGTTTCATGTTTTATAACTTAATATTCCACATAACTTAGTATTCTACCATACTTTTAAAAAAGTGCACATGTATGTTTAAAACTACAAATAATTAGCAAGAAAAGAGAAAGAGAAATTACAGAGAATCAAAAATTCTGTAAAGTGATCTATATTGCTTGGGATTCAAATAACACCTGCCAAAACATACTGGAATTCAAAAATAATAATGCAGAGATTTCAGATGCTATGATATAAAATTGTAATATATTGGGTCTGAAGCATCTATAAATAATGTTTAGACATTTTCATCAAAATAATCAGATAAAACCCAGATTTTCATACTTTCTATTGGAAAACTAATTAATAATCATGAGTTTAATGTTGTGTATAGGTTAAAATTCTAAAAGTAATATATCATATCATAACTGTCTTAACTTTCATGTGTGTTTGTTTTCATTGATATTTCTGTCCTTCATCTTCTTCATTTTCCCTCCATACCACTCCTCTTAACACCCTCTCCTCCACATCTCACTGATGCTTTGCCCTCCTCCCCCTGCCTCTGGCCCCACCTTTTGCACCAGTTTCCTACCTTGAAGGTGCAGTTTGCTCTCCGTGCTTTGAAGAAGGACAGAACTCACAGAGTCCAGATTGTCATAGCTGTTACAGCCCAGGGGCCCAGTGCGTGTCTCTGTGACCTGGAGTAGACATAAGATGAGAGAATGTTAGGGAGGTCCAGGAAGACCATCAAATGTTATTCCTCAGAAGAGAGGCCAGAAGATAAGTCTTATGGCCTGAGTCCAGGCTCACCTCCTCAACACCTCATTTGTGCCTGGAAACATGCTTGGCTAACAATGACTAGATGGAACATCACAGTGGTCAAATACACAGACTTAAGTCACAATGCCTGGTGTCTATCCCTGGTTATCATTTCACAAGGTCCCTGCAAGTATTCTATAAACTAGTAAGTTAAAGTGCTATGATATATTTCAGAAGCATGTGTTTTGCAATCAGGAAAATCAGCATTAAATCCAAGCTGGGCCATTTATATACTGTGTGACATAAGGAAGTCACTTAGCTTTTCTAAACCTCTGCAAACTCATGATAATAAATGTCTTTCAGGAAGATTGTGGCACAAATGTGATGCATATAAGTACTTAATACAAGATAGGGTTCAGAAATAAGCATCTGATTATAAAATGCTTTTATAAACTGCAGTGAGTACCTATGTACTATTACCAGATAACAACAATAAAATTATCCCCATTTTCCAAAAGAAGTTTCAGCAACACACATAATCAGTGCCACTGCAGGTGGAAAATATCTGGATCTTATGGATCTGCATTTCCAAGATATTGTCTTCAAAGACTCAAGGTGGTGGACAATAGAGGAATGGCTTTTCAAATAAGATTGGTTTAGTAGAAACAGAGGCTCACATCCCTTTGCTCTCCAATATTTGGAGCTGCTTTGAAGTTTGCACCTGACTATAAAGACACAGCCTCCTTTGTTAGGGACTGACAACTTGAGGAATTGTCAACATCTACCTCCTTTGCTCTTTTCCAACAGTCAAGAAGGATCAGTAAATTTCCTTTGTAAGCCTCACCTTCCCCACCTATAAAATTTTAATAATGTTCTTATGCACCTAAACAAGTAAACAGGTCATATTTTTGATGTTTAGCACTTGGGATAAAATAAATACATGGAAGAAAATTGGTTTAGTTTTGTTTTACAAGTAACTTATTCCTTTTTATGCTGAGTTGTAGTATTATTACCGACTAAAAGTTACTCTACTAAATATAACTGTAGTGAGGAAGAAGGGGAAATAGGCAAAATTTCCCCACTTGATTCAGTAACTGACCTTCAACAAATCAGATGGTGAGACAAGTTCTAGTCTACTTGCTGGGTCTTGAGAGAGTGGAAAGAAATGGCAAGCAAAATCCAAGGGCAAATTCAGTGCAGAAACCAGTGCCAGTGTTAGAATGGATTCTTGAGAAGCCTGTGTGCAATTTGTCAGAGAAATTTCTCCTGAAGAGGCAAGAGTGCACTTCCAGGATGCACAAAAGAGGATTATCTTCTGACAGAACTTCAATATCTCAATTCTGCATCCCATTGCGGTGGGGAGGGGGGAGGAGCCATTTGGTGATAATGAAAAACAGGCCTTTGTGTCTCCCTGAGTCTGATGGCTTCATAAAGATCTGTCTCTCAGTGCTGACTTCCCTAACAACACAATCCATCCAATATAGACGATTCTTCTTTGATAATCTGGCCCTTTGTTTGTTGATTTGATTTATTCCTTTCCTTATTCCCTCCTTCCTTGCTAAGACTCTCCATACCACACATTTCTCTTCCTGTGGTCAATTTCTGACTCATCCATCTGAGTCTGCCTTGACCTTCCCCTGCCCCTTTTCCCCTAGAGATATCCTGGGAAGTCTTAATACAAGGCTATTCTGCATTTTATTCAGAATAAGTAAGAGTGAAGACTGAGAAACAAAATGCAGATATAATCTAGATTAAGAAAATATGAGATTAAAAAAATCTGCATTAATTCTTCAAAAGAAGTAATCCTTTATATCAAGAATGTCTTCTCACATTGCTTTATAGAGGTAGTCTCTAGATTTATTGTACTGTAAGTGGAATCTTTTAAAAGTTCCTGTTCCCTGAGACTCTGAATTGAAAGTCTGGAGCTGGTCTATTCAACATGGTTGTAACGTTGAAATAATTAAAATTAAATAAATTTACAAATATACTTCCCTGGTAGCCACATGTTAAGTGTTCCATGATGTCATGTGATTAATGACTACTATCTTGTGCAGCACAGATACAGGCCATTTCCATCATCTCTGAAATTTTTATTGGATAGTGCTGTAGCAGATGAGGATGGCTCAGCAAGCAACAGCATGCCTATTTATCAAATAAAGTTTTACTGGAACACAACCACACCAATTTGCATATGTACTATCTATGACTGCTATGATGCCGTAATAGCAGACTCCAGCAGCAGCAACAGAGAACATATGACTGGCAAAGCCTAAAATATTTATCATGGACACTTTACAAAAAATGTTTGCTGATCATTGGTCTAAGGAGTAGTTTTAGTCCCTTTTTAAGGTATTTTCTATTTGTGCAACTCTGAGCAAAAGGTTTCAAACTGTGGACCTCAGTTTTGCCATATGTAAAATAGAAGGTGAGGAGAAAAGAATAAAAGACACAAGTGCTTAAAAAATTATTCCTCTAGGTATCAATAATCTAATTCTTGCCAACTATGTGATCTTGTTAGAGAGTGCATCAGTAAACAAGCACATATGGTCCCACCCTAATGACAATGCTTGTGCTAGGGAAGATGACAACACCGGTAAGAATGTTTGACTGGGGCACCATAAGCTACATAAGTATGAAGCCAGAAAATATATCTGTCCATCTATTCTCAGAATGTTTGTATTGCAATGTTGTTGTGTTGAGAACCTGCCACCTCAATCCACTCTCAAGCTGTACCTTGATTGCTCCAGTTGATATTTGGATCTCATGTAGCCTCCTCATGGTGCCATCACGGTCAACGAAGTAGGATGATGCAAGCTGGTGCAACGCTTCAACACTTTGTGTGGCATTCCCTGACTTCCTGTCAAGGCGACTTTTGTCCATATACATAGTCAAAGCCTCCTCTCCTGCATGGAAAAGAAAAGAAGATAAGGAAGTTTACTTAAGCAATTAAGCATTTATTTAAGCATTTAAGTGGGAGGAATGGTACGAAGGCCTGGATCCCAAAACACTCTTGAATCTCCAGCCACTTTTGTCCAAATTTCCTTCTGTTTCTAAAAATGAAAGAAACAATGAAAATAAAATAGTCAGGAGGTGGTTGTAAATGCTAAGCTCCATCATGACAAAAAATCACTGAAAAACCCTCAGACACTGAGTCCAACTCCAACTAATCCATTTCATACTTCTCATTTTCTTACAACACAGCTCACTTCCCCTCTCCTAAGAAAGTTCAGTTCTTTGGTAATATGATGAATTTGGCATAGGTATTCCTTTCTTATTTTTTTCTATTTCTCCTTCTTCCTTCTCATCACTCAGTTCCTCCTTTTCCTCTTCTATATGCTCTTCTCTTCCATTATTTCATCTCTTCCTTTTAAAAAAATGTTTCTTTCAAGCCAAGATGCCCCACCACTGACGAATGGATTAAGAAAATGTGGTATCTATACACATGGAATTTTATGCAGCCATGAAGAAGAATGAAATGTTATCATTTGCTGCTAAATGGATGGAATTGGGGAACATCATTCTGAGTGAGGTTAGCCTAGCCCAAAAGACCAAAAATCGTATGTTCTCCCTCATATGTGGACATTAGATCAAGGGCAAACACAACAAGGGGACTGGACTTTGAGCACATGATAAAAGCGAGAGCACACAAGGGAGGGGTGAGGATAGGTAAGACACCTAAAAAAATTAGCTAGCATTTGTTGCCCTTAAAGCAGAGAAACTAAAGCAGATACCTTAAAAGCAACAAAGGCCAACAGGAAAAGGGGACCAGGAACTAGAGAAAGGGTAGATCAAAAAAATTAACCTAGAAGGTAACACACACACACAGGAAATTAATGTGAGTCAACTCTCTGTATAGCTATCCTTATCTCAACCAGCAAAAACCCTTGGTCCTTCCTATTATTGCTTATACTCTCTCTTCAACAAAATCAGAGATAAGGGCAAAATAGTTTCTGCTGGGTATTGAGGGGGTGAGGGGAGAATGAGGGGGCGGAGTGGGTGTTAAGGGAGGGGGTGGGGGCAGGGGGGAGAAATGACCCAAGCCTTGTATGCACATATGAATAATAAAAGAAAAAAAATGTTTCCTTCATCCTCCCCTTTCTAGATGAATGATGGAAGGACAGATAAATAGGCACAGAACTTCAGAGGCAGATAGAAATACTCAGCTAGGGAAAACTATGTCCTCATGCAGAGAGGGAAGACTAAGGCGTCGGTGTCTATATTGCTGCATCCTTTGCACATAGCACAGGGTTGCACATATGATGGACACCCAACAAATACTTAATTCACATTTTTTAAATTCATTCAACATACATTCTTATACATTCCAAGCACTGAGCTTCTGAAAGCATAATAGAGAAGAGGTCATTCGTTGTTGGAGTGGAGTGAGAAATGATCAAAGTACAAGAAAGAAAGGACATGCATACAAGAAAGGACAGATGAATGGATGGACAGATAGATAGATAGATATTTGCATAAATAGAGGACTGAATGGATGAATGATAGGCATAGTTTTATAGATAAAAATAAGAATATACAAGTTCATAGATTTTCCTCCATGAAGTTTTCCTTTGAAATGCATGAATAGATTACTAAGAATCCTAGGGTATAGTGACTTTTACTTTTGAGAACAAGATGTTTCATTAGAGCATGAGAAAGGAAGCTCTAGATATGCCCCGAAGCACCTCATCATTATTCTCCTGCCTCCACTCCCTACTAATTTGTGAACATAGGCATATTTCTTAACTTCTCTGTTCCTCAGATTATTTAGTAGAAATATTGAGAAAAATAGCACCTAATTCTATAGGATTATTATGAAAAGTAAATTAATTAATACATGTCAAGTCTTTAGTACAGTGTCTGGTTCACTATAGCACTTGAAAATCAATGAATATGAAGCAATAGGTAACTCAGTGGTAAAGTATGTGCTTAGCATGCATAAGGTTGTGGGTTCAATTCCCAGCACCATAAAACAAGTACAAGAAAAGAGAAGGGAGGGAGGGAGGGAGGAACTAGTAGTACAGGCATAGACTCTGGAGCTAGACTGTCTTGACTTGAAATAGTTAACTTTTCTATGCTTCAGTTTCTTCATGAGTAAAATGGAGACACTAATGGTACTTACCTCATAGGGTTGTCCTAAGGATTAGATTATTTACATGAAGTACTTGAATCCTACCTGGGACATAGTCAGCATGTTGCTAGTGTTAGCTACCACTTTTTGACAGTTGTGAGTTATTGATTATATAATATTTTTCTTTACATGTAATCAATTCACTAAAATAAAAATATTTAGGGAACATAAACTATCAGTACTTTCTGTAAAACAAAGCCTGGTATGTAAGACAGTTGAAATGTGTTTAGAATGCTGATGACTTTTTGAGGTGAAGAGAAAAAAAAAACAATTTACTTTCAGAAGGAGTTTGTCCTGTTTTGCCCCTAAATGACTTTTGAAATCCTATTTAGCTTTCTACCCAATTATAATGTTGCTTCTTATCAGCCCCTCCTTTGTCCCTGGCAAACTCAAACACACTCCTTAAAGCCTACTTCAGCATCACTTCCCTGGTGAGCTTTCTCAGGCTGACCCTAACCCCCAAGAAAGAGATCATAACCTTCTCTTATGATACTCTAATTTGTCCACTCAGTTCAGTATGCATGCTCTACGCATTTCTTGTGTGTTGAACACTTTGGCAGGTATTGGACTGACAAGTGAATAAGACACTGAGATGGGCTATAAAAGTGTAACTACACACCAAAATTTGGAATAATACTGTATCATCCAACATTAATAATTTTCTCTTTTGATTACATGTTGAAATGAAATATTTTGGTTATATTATGCTAAATAAAATATATTATTAAATTGATTTTCCCCCTTTTTTTTTCTTTTCTTTTTAAAAATGTGGCTCCAAGAAAATTTATAAAGGCATATGTGGCTCACACTTGGGGTAACTTTCTGTTTTTGTTGATTAGTGATGATTGGGGCAGACATAGGCATATGACAATCATTCATCATACCAGGTGAGTAGCCAAGATCAATGCACAGAGTAGAATAAAGACCAGAGAAAGGGTGCCTACACCTATGTAGATAATGTGAACTGCAAGATCCTGATGATTTGGCCTCTCCAGCTGTATCCTTCACTGCTCTGTGCCCATGCTTTACCCTGTACAAAGATGCCCTATTTTCTTTCATTGTTAGGACTCTGCATTTCTGTTCTTTTCCTGGCTAATTTCTACTCATCTCAATTCTTCAGCTGTCAACTAAGACATCACCTCCTCTAGGAACCCTTTCTGTTTTCCCCTACTACTTACCTAAATTGGATTAATAAGTCTCACCATATGTATGCACTGTTCCCTTTACTCTCCAATGCATCACCAATCACATTTCCTGGTGATTTCTATCTCCTTCTCTAGCCTGTATCCTCCACTACATCAAAAGCACTGTAAGGTCAGAGAATGAGAGTCTTATCATTCCCTTGGCATTGCCTATTTAGCACAATATGGGCATGTATTATGTACTTGACAAATTATTGGGAGCTTATAGGTGAACAAATAAACATAAACTGGACCAACTCTGCAGTGTTCATTGGTTGACATATCTGCCTCAACAACTACACCAACACTAGCAAGGATGCATCATCACCATACAAGAAATCTCTAATTTTCACATACCTAGACCTGATTTTAATTCAAAGTAAGACAGTTTACAGTTTCTCATACACCCTTCTCTGTTATGCTCTAGGACATTATGTTTTGTTCTTTGGACTACATTACAACTTGAATAGATCTGGTTTAGAAATGTCTCTGAGCTTCAGAAACAGTGGTTTCCTGGGACAGTATATAGTGAGGAAGAGGAACAAAGAATCTCATTCATCTTTTCAATGTTCCCAGTGCTTCTCCAGAAGTCTGACGAAGAATGGATGCTCAGTTATCATTTGATAGATAAACTCATAGATAGGTGGACAGATGATTGAATGCACAGATGCTTAGATACATGGTTGGAGAAGTAAATGATTAAGTAAATACAGTAAGAGTTAGAACCATGATTCAGAGGAAATAAATATTCCAAGTGCTAGCTAAGACTCTCTTAGGAATCTATAAAACAGAAGGTGAAATAAGCCCATTCCCTCTGGACTGAGAGCTGGCAGAAGCACACCTTAGATCAAGAGGGGTTAATGGACTTCTTGCTGCATTATTAAGACTTAATTTTGTGTTTATTAAGAGAATGTTCTGTTAGAGTTGCTTTACCACTTGGGCATTTCTACCAATTGCCTCTTCACCCCACACAAGCCTTTCCTCCGTCTTCCTGTCCTCCCGGAGGGCTTTGCCTCATTCCCTGAAGCACATCTCTCTGAGGGTAACAAAATAGGACTCAGACACACAAGGATGAGGAAGAGGTAGGGGTGGATCCTTTTACCTTAGAGTTGATAGAAGATGTTGCTCCAAGTAGGTGATTGGAGAATCTGGGGCTTTGGGCCCCTGGGATATCCCTCATCCTTTATTCCTAAGCCCCTGTGACTTTTCTTTTTTCAGCTTTCCTCCCAACCAAAGATAGGTCTCCCAAAATACAGGGTGGGTAATACTAAATATACTACACACAAGCATATACAAATGGATAAAATACATGAGCCCTCACATATAAAAAGGCATCCATGGAATACACACATTTGCATACACACAAAAGTTCACATATGTACACACTTTGCATCCATATATATATACATATATATGTACAATGTATATGTATATATGCCCAAGTATAGATTAACTCAGCCTTGAGAGGCATATGTGAGCATCATTTAGACAGATAGGCATACACATTCATACATGCATACCAGATTAATTATGCATGCCACACAGATAGCCAACCTCCAAAATATTTCCTTTGAACCAAAATATAATCTTCAGAGTGACAAAAGAAAATACCCATTATCCTACATGTCATTACAGACATAGAATTTGTCCCTAAATCATCCTCTATGAGATCATAAATATCAAATATTCTTATGAATTTAATAGATTTCATTCAAAATTTTGAGGAACCCTGGAAATCCGAAGTTGTTGTAGCCCCCATCCCCACCCCCGCCACCAGCTCCTCCACTTCTTCATTCCCACTCCCTATCCCTTCTCTTCCCTCTCCCTGAAGATCTAAAGGAGGTTTGAAGATGTAGTTCAGCAGTAGAGTGCTTGCCTGGCATGCACAAATCCTGAGTTTGATCTTAGCATGGCAAATTTTTTCAAGGCAAACAATGCATTTATTTGTCCTATATATAATAGTTTAAGGCTCATTTTTGTTGCTTAATTATGTCCTTAGGAACTTACTTGATACCTCAAAGACTTTATCAAAACATTACTTCTCAGTGAATACAGTGTTCTTAGGGAAAAAATAAAACCACTATAACAAATAACATTTTCTACACTTCTTTGTATCTAGATGGGGAAACTGATATTAAGATAAGAAAGTGCATTTCTGAATGCCTCTCACTCATCTAGTGAGTGCTAGCTCTTTAGTTTCACTGTATAATGGCAATAATAGTAAGAATAATGACAATAAAAATAATTTGTTGGATGCCAGACAGTTTGCTAAGCACTTTTAATACATCATTTTATCCAATATATATTAAGGAACTGTGATTATTATGTATTAAGGGACTATGATTATTATGACTGTTTACAAAAGAGAAAACTAAGGTCCAGAGAACTGAGTTACTTGTAGAATTAACATTAAACTGGTGAAAAGCAGGGAGCAAGACTGGAAACCAGGTGACTGAAGTACAGAGACTTCTCCTTCATTCACTACAACTCCCCACGCTCCTGCTCTTCCACTGCATAAAGAGGCCCTTAAGAAATATTTTACATGAATGAATGAATTACATGATGATGCAACAGGGTCCTCATATAGTTCCTGGCATAACATTTTATCAACAGGAAATCTCTTCCTCTTCCCTCTCTCTACTCCTCAAAAGTAAGGGCTGAGGGAACATTTAGGGTATGCTGTCCAACAACAGATTTCAATCTAAAGCTTTGCATATTTTAAAATGTTGTGTTGTAAAAACAGGAGAGGAACAAGGCTCTGTGAATAATTTACCACCTCACCTTGAAGAAATTAAAAATATATTTCATGGAGAAAAAAAGTCTTTGTTACTTAGGATTTCCAGGGACTGAGACCAGAGCTCAGCTTTTAATGAAAGAATTGAATTGATCACAATCAGTTTTCCCAAGTGAAATGGGAGGGAGGAGATATTCTAAGAAAAGGGTACAGGCTAATGCCCCACTCAGTGTAGAAATTAACTCATTTTTACTTTATAATGGAATATAATTTGTACTAATGATTTCACATTCAAAGTCCTATTTAATTTAATATCTGATTAATCTGACAACATATATATGCTGATTGGTTGATTATTGGAATGGATGGGTAGGTTGATGAATGAGACAGTTGGTTAAAGAGATAATTGATATTGGATGGAAAAAATAATGCTGGCTTTGTGGACAGAAAACCTTAAGTTAAAAACTTAGCTTTGCCAATTATTAGCCATGCCTCCTCTGGGTCCCAATTCCCTTATTTATGAAACAGAAGTAATATGACTTATCTTGCAGTTTTGAGGGCGACAGAAAATGTACAATGTTTGTTGTGCAGCACATAGTCATTAAGTAGTGCCTAATTATATTCTAAAAGTGAATGAATTTTCCAAATAAATACCTCCAACTACATTCCACATGTTATCAAATTACTAATCTCCTCTTCCTCAAATGTACGCTATATGCTCAGTCTAGAAAATGCAACCATTTCCCTTTACCTAGCCAGCTCCTATCAAACTAAACTGCCACTACTTTCATGAAATTTGTACTGACCACTCCAGTATGCAGTGCTCCACCCTCCTCTAAAGGGTTATCTTCTTATCATACTTCAGTTCACCTTGCCTCAGTCAAATACATCAATGTCTTTTTCTTGGAATGAGCCATGACTAAATGGACCTGGAAGCAGATGTTATAGCACAAAGGAAGTTTTCTGAAAGTTCAGTGGACCTAGGCACTGTAGAAAACACTAACCCAGCACCTAAGAGTTGGTAGATTATAACATCAAATGTTGCATGCAGATTCTAAATGCTTCCAGTCAGTATCATTTCCCATAGTCTTTACAAGTTTCCTCCCTTTAATTCAGCTTCTTTTCCTGAAAGATGGATTAAATATGGTGAAGAGGGTGGGTAAGGCTGATAAGGGCAAAGCAACTGGCCTACTTTACTGTCAATCTATTCCAAACCCATATGAGATGCAAATGATAGCCCATTTGTAAAATAATAACCTCAAGTATCAGCCCCTAAAGTAGACTTAAATAAACAAAAGCAATTCCCCAAACATCTGAAATTTAATTTTGCCTGAGATTAGATTTCCTTCCAAGTAACTAAGACAAACTGAACTAATTCCAAAATTAACCCATATTCCACAAAAATTAGTAAACTCTCAAATTAGACTTTCCCATTAACCTGAATCATCTGCTCAAATATGACAACAACTCAGACAATTGGCTTCTCTAGTAATACATGTTTTTTCAGTAATGTTCAGTGGTACAGAGGCTAAGGAGGCCTTCGTTCATTGGACACAACATTTTCCTTCTACCCCCAGACCCAAGGTCATGAACAACCCATGACTTAATGGCTGCTGACCTACCTCCCAATGTAGCAGAGATGAGGAGGTGGGTGCCGTACTTTTTGATGATGGTATCGATGAACTGCTGAGTGGTGGGTCTCCTGCCAAGCAGACGGATGCTCCTTTGAAACTCCGGCATGAGGGGCAGTGGATGACGGACCAGATCTCTCCTCTCAATGGCTGTGTTCCTCACCTTCCAACGGGCAAACTCCCTGGGCAGGAGAGATGAGCAACACTCCTCAACTTACCATTTCTACCTTCAAGTCAAATCCCAGGCATCTCTCTTTAGATGAGAGAGTGTCCAAAATTACTTTCAATATTTGTCAAGTGATACTTTGATCTAGAGTTTTCAGTTCTCTGAAAACACAAATATTTATTGAGTACTTATCTCATCACTGCAATACTGAACCAGAGAGACAAAGCCATGTCAAGTTGCTTATACAACATGAGAAAAACACAAATCAGGAAGTCACTTGTGCTAGGTTATGGGTGAAAGAGTAGAGATAATTATGATGATGATTGTAACAATGAAGATATTTATGATATGTTATCATCCATAAGAATAGCACATCTCATTCCTTACTTAAGCATAACACTAGCACTGTGATAGGCAATTACTGTCCATTTCTATTCCATCTCACAGGAACTCTCTCTCTCTCTCTCTCTCTCTCTCTCTCTCTCTCTCTCTACCCCCCCATCTACTACTTGCTTGTCCATCTCTCTCACTAGACTATGAGTACTACTATAGAGATAAATAGACCTCATGTACTCACTGACCTTTCTGTAAACATCTCAGTGCATGTTACATGACAGGATTCATAATAATGCTTGCTGGATGAAAGCAAATGAAAGGAATGATAAGAAGGGGTATCAAGAGAGGCAGCAAGGATATACAATGGACAAAGCTACCTGAAATCTAAGATATTTTAAAAATCAAATATTACACCAGAGTTCACTTTAAAATTCCATTTTTACATGAATTCACTGAGCATCTACTATTTAGTAGAAGAAACAAAAATATGCTCTGAAGACCATAGGGAAACCACAAGTTTTCTTTCACGATCAAGGCAGAGGAACACTGAGTTAGGGAATAAAAATATTGCTTTGCCTCTTGAAAATTATGTGAAGCAATATTGGGCAAAACATGTTCCTTCTTTGGATCTACATTTCATCTCCTATAAAATTCAATTAATAATATTTATCATCTACATTCTATGGGCACAGAGATTACATGGAAGATAGTGTGAAAAAAACCTCTGGAAATTGCAAGACACTAATACTGATTTACAACTTCTTCACAATTTCCCAGATATGTACATGTAAATCATTAAAGGTGCATAGACAGTAAATACTGAAAATGAAAACTGACGACAAGTACAAATTTAATGGGAGTTGGTTCAGATTGCTTTTGCTTAAATAACAAGCATTGTTCCTACCAAAGATGCAGTTCCCCTGGAGCGATCAGCTCTCTGACCTGCCTGAAGTTGCATACTCTCAGTCCCTTGAGAAAAACAGACTACCCAAGAGGGCTGTAAAGTCAGTCTAGATAAATGATGGAAAGCAGAGTTTAATGAAAAGGTCTCTCTCTCCTGCCACAATATGGAAGGAATGAATGAAGAAAGCGGCACAGGGCAAGAATAAGTGGAACAGGGTATGAATCAGGCTGGAATATGCCCTGGTAATTCAGTGGTAGCGTCTGACCTATGACTCACAGGAAACTGGTTCTAGAAAAAGCCTTAACATCATAATACATCTCCAAGTCTTGGTGCTTATGGTCTGCATAAGGAATCTCTGCCCATAATTATTAACATAATTCAACTTCTAAGGTAACAGAGTGCCTTGTATATCTCCAGTGCTTAAGCCAGTCAACAAACCCCTGAAGGTCATGTAGGAGGTGAAAATGGACACATCACAGTCCCAGTCCTTATGAAGCTCACAGTCGGTCAGGAAAGACAAAGCATTTCCAGTTTATTGTAAATTAAGGACTACAGGATACAAAAGATGAGAGCATGGGTGTCTTGGGCCTCTAGGGAAATCCTCAGAGAGGAGGTCTTGTTTGAACTCTAGTTTTGAAGTCTGCATAGGATTTAGATAAATGGAAGTGCAGTTAAAAAAAGAAACAGCCACATGGAGAAAAGGGCAGAAGCAGAGTGAGTAAAAATGAAATGCAGAATGTGCAATGAGAAGAGCAGAATAGAGGAGGAGTATGAGGACGGATTTAAGAGGGAAAAGGAAGAAACAAGTGGGTTGACTAGGTCTAGGGAGGGATCTTGGAAGCCAGCTAAGGATTTTATATATGGGTCAAGTTGTTTATGACATGAGTCCCAATGAGACATGGACCCACCAACTTGCTTCCAATAAAAAGAACATGAAAGTGACATACTACCACTTTTGTGATTAGGTTACACAACACTGGAACTTCTATTCTGCTCTCTGTCTCTTCTCATATATATTCTGGCTCTTTTGCTCTGTCAACATGACATGGCTGTTTGTCATTTTCTCCATCTTTCCTCTCCCCTCCTTCTGGCTCTCATTTGCTGCCATGTTATCAAAAGATCCATGGACAAATCCATATAACAAGCACCCAAAAGAAACCTCCAGCCAACAGTTCCCAAAGATCTGAGGCCTCAAAAGTAGCCAAGTTGTTATGTTTAAATTACATACAAGCTGGACACCAGTTGCTCACACCTGCAATCCTAGCCCTGTTCGGGAGGCAGAGATCAAGAGGTTCATCATTCAAAGCAGCCCAAGCAAATAGTTCACAAGACTCCATCTCGAGAACACCTAACACAAAAAACAGGTCTGATGGAGTGGCTTTAGCGGTACAGTGCCTGCCTAGCAAGCCTAGAAAGCATGAGGCCCTGAGTTCAAACCCCAGTACTGCCAAAAAAAAAATTTGATATACATATATATATATATGGCAAATAAAGGTGATACATGTGTACCTTTTCTTTATTTATAACTTACACTTTGGCCTGCTTTTATTTTCACATGAACATACATTATTCAAAATTAGTATTTATTTGTATACAGAGAGGTTAAGTAACTTGGTAAAAGTCATCCAGCTAGTTAGTGATAGAGCTGTGTGTAGAAAACAGACATCCTAAATATCGTAACTCTGAAATCTCTTTTCTAATGTAAATTTTGAGAAAGAATGTTAAAACACAGTAAAACCAGTACCAGTATAGAGGAATAATGCCACTCCCACCAAATTTCAGAGTCATGACTCAATTATTTTTTGTTTGTTTTAAATTTTCAGTCTTTAAATGTGGTATTTATACACAATGGAATTTTATGCAGCCATGAAGAAGAACGAAATGTTATTCGCCGGTAAATGGATGGAATTGGAGAACATCATTCTGAGTGAGGTTAGCCTGGCCCAAAAGACCAAAAATTGTATGTTCTCCCTCATATGTGGACATTAGATCAAGGGCAAACACAACAAGGGGATTGGACTATGAGCACATGATAAAAGCGAGAGCACACAAGGGAGGGGTGAGGATAGGTAAGACACCTAAAAAACTAGCTAGCATTTGTTGCCCTTAACACAGAGAAACTAAAGCAGATACCTTAAAGCAACTGAGGCCAATAGGAAAAGGGGAACAGGTACTAAAGAAAAGGTTAGATCAAAAAGAATTAACCTAGAAGGTAACACCCACGCACAGGAAATCAATGTGAGTCAATGCCCTGTATAGCTATCCTTATCTCAACCAGCAAAAACCCTTGTTCCTTCCTATTATTGCTTCTACAACAAAATTAGAAATAAGGGCAAAATAGTTTCTGCTGGGTATTGAGGTGGGGAGAGGGAAGGGACGGAGTGGGTGGTAAGGGAGGGGGTGGGGGCAGGGGGGAGAAATGAACCAAGCCTTGTATGCACATATGAATAATAAAAGAAAAATGAAAAAAAAATTTTTCAGTCTTTGTGAAGCTTGCCAACTACATACCCAGAGTCTGCCATTTACGCTGCTTTTGGAGAAAAACAAAAACAAAAACAAAGGTAAGATGTCAATGCTGTTACCTAGTCCTCCCTAATGGATGGATGTAAGGCCTACATGAAACAATGCATGAAATGCTGAGCATGGAGCCAGGCCCGTGGGAAAAGCTTGGAGATGTCATTATAAAGCTTTGGCTCCATTCCATGCCAGGCACTGCCCAATCAGAACTATGGACAGAGTTCATGGTCCCAAAGGTATCCAAATGGTTGAATAGGAAAATTTTTAAATTAAGCTCTGCTATTGCAATGACAGTTTTTAATCATGGAGGAAACAAAAATAAGGATCTCTGGCAGAATATGGAGAAATAGGTGGGTGGGAGTGGTGGTGTACTAGCTGAAGTTTGAAAGAAACAGGATTTGGCCAAAGATTGGGTGAGAGTATTTTAGGGAGAATGAGATACTTGTGCAAAAGTGGCAAAGAATGAGAGATAAGACAGTTGGGAAGAGAGGGGTGTGTGTGTGTGTGTGTGTGTGTGTGTATGTATATGAGAGAGAGAGAGATGAACTATAGGAGTACAGACTAAAGGACTGTGTGGCAAATTCTATTACTAGATTTCAGCTTATAAACTTTGTTCTTATTGGCCAACAATCCAAACTACAAATGTTTGAGGCTGGGTTTTTGTTGATCTGTAATCATTACAGGGATGTTGGAGCAAAGACTCTCGTTATCACAGGATTCTATGATTTTACACTCTTTACAAAAATACACTTCAGTAAAAGCACCTAGATCTATTTTGAAGTAGATTTAAACATTTGAACTGGAAAGGTGATTTTAGGGCCTTCTATTTTTCCAGCCCTGAAGACACAGCAGTAAAGAAAATTGATTAAAGTCCTGCTCCCAGGGAACTTGCATTCTGGCATGAGTGCACAAATCACAAAGAAACCAACGTGTAACATAAAAGAGAGAAATGTTTTCCAGAAAAATAAGGAAGAGAAGGAAACAGGATGTCCAGAGGTGGTGGAGTGTCTGATTTCACACTGGTTTGAAAAGGTCTTTCTAATTTGATGCCATTTAAGGAGCTACTTGAAGGAGTGAGGGAGGGGCTATAGGACCATCTGGTGGTGGAAGAATGTTCTAAGAAGAAGGAACAGCAAATGCAAATGTCCTGAGGTAAGAATGTGTTTGCCAGGAGATGAGACATCAAGGAGGAAGGCTTAGATGTGTAGATGAGTAGAGGTGGTGAGATGAAAGAAGGATGATAACACAGTATCCAAATATGGAGAAGAGTGACCAAAGATCTCAAAGGATTTGACTATTAGCCTAAAAAAGACTTAGCATTTTTTAAACTCTACGTCACACAAGAAGCCAATTGTAGATAAATGGATGGAACTGGAGAACATCATCTTAAGTGAAGTTAGTCAGGTTCAGAAAACTAGAAGCTGCATATTTTCTCTTATATGTGGAATAGACCTAATACAAATACAGCAATATTATGAAAAACAGGCCACTCTAAGGGGAGGTCACCTATGAGAAAAGGATGGCAAAAGAAGCAAGTTAAGAAGGTGAATATGGTTCATGTACTTTCTATACAAAAATGAATATAGAATTTTTAAACCTGTGGAAATCACCATAAGAATGAGACGAAGGTAGAAAGGAGAAAAAATAGAAGAGATGAACCAATTCGGGTTATAATACATATATCCATGGAAATGTTACAAGGAAATTCCCTGTTATAAGGAAACTCTTAAGCAAACAAAAATTTCATTTTGTTTTATACAAAAACAGAGAACGTGAGGGCAGAACAGGTTCTTCTTGGAGGGTTGGTACCAGTGAGATGGGGAGAATGTGAGAAAAAGTATAGGAGAGTGAATATGGTACCAATGTTGTGTACAGGTATATGAAAATGGAAAAATGAGACATGTTGAAACAATTCCAGGAAAGCGGGGAAGGGGAATAAAAGAGAATGATGAAGGGGGTGAATTCAACTATGATATATTATAAGAACTTTTGTAAATGTCACAATGTACCCCAGCAATCTGATTATTTTTGAAGAAAGGCATAGGCAAATTTCTGTAAATGGCCACACAGTTCAGTCAACCACTCAATTCCTTCTTTATAATATGAAGCAGTCATAGACAATATATAAATAAGTGTGGCTGTGTGCCAATAAAACTGTATTTACAAAAGCAAGTGGCAGGCCAGATTTTGCTCACAGATAGTATAACCACCTTCTTAAAGCTTCACTCTGACTCCATTCACAGAAGGTATCAAGTTTAACTCACCCAGTTCACACATGGGTGAATTTTGACTGAATAAAATTAAGTTATTTCCCCAGAATTGGATAGCAAAAGACCAGCAGCACTTGATCAGAGCCTAGGGCTCATGAGTCTAAATACAGAACCCTTTCCATGTACCGTGCCACCTGAAAACAATATGAAAGAGAATAAAAGAAAGCCAGGAAGTCTTGCTTTGCCATGTTGTCCAACTGATCTGCTGGCCCAGGAACAATTTCATGTGAATTCTCAGTGAATCAAGCATAACATAAAATATATCTTTCCTCCGAAACCCACAGAGCAAGCAAATTCCTCTTGGAGGAAAAGGCAGAACGCACAATGGCATAGGATCTGCAGAATATGCTTATGCCCAATTAAACATCCCAGCAGGGTGGGTGAAACAATTAGACTGAGATTAAAAAAGTATCCTGGATGGAATGCATGGGGTGTCTGAAGTAAGGCCCATCCCACTGGGGGAGCTAAAGGCAGAAGAGCAGGTGATGACAGGGACAAGAGATGGAAGAAGACTGTACCCAGGGATGCAGGCTAAAATCACTCGTCTCTGTAAATTGTCCCATGAGAGTTAATGTGAAATAATGCTGGAAAGAATTCTTTGTAAATTGCAAGGTTGTGAAAAATAGCTTGCTGCTGTTGGTATTATCATTATTTACTATTATCTGCACATGTATCTACTGACTAAAATTTTCTGTCTTGGTTTCCTCATCTGTGAAATGGGGTGTGAGCCACTTCTAGCTCTTCTGGATTCATGCGTGATTCTGCTACTGATTTCTAGATAATTGAGGCTAACAATGACCTCTGAATAGGCGCAGGGCTATTTTACCTCTCCCCACACAGTATGTTTTATGCCTTGTTTGTTCATCAAATCCGATCTCACTGCAGAGAGGTAAGAGGTATTTATCAAAAACAGACATATGTTATAGGTTTTAAATAAAGACAAAATAAGAAAATAATAGTAGAAAATTAAATTTGGGTAAAAATTATATGTAAATTCATTCTATGAAGTCATGAATACTTGATGAACTTGAACTTCCAACATCTCTGAGCTTCCCAGCACTCAACAGACAAAGGACAATCACAGCCAAAAGAACTACCCCATCAAGAAGATAACAAAGCAGTTGCTCAAAGTTGTTAAGAGAAATGCAGATTCCTTGCATTCCGTGACAAGACCCATACCTTTCCCACAGTTTCTCATGGAGGTGGATGCTGTTGAGTGATATCCTCAAAAATACCTCGAATGAGTCTGACTGCCTCAACATAGCCTAATTCATATGTGAAAACACTGTCAGTAAAGCAATTCCACGAGGGTCAAACACATTATAATCTAGGTATGTTCTTCTCTGGAAGTCTGACTTCATCCAAGGATGCAGTTTAGAATATTTTATAGACATGGTGCTCCCAATAAATGTTTGTTGAAAGCATGATTGATTACAGCTATGGGATGCTTGCATTTGTTTATTCCAGGGCGGCTGATCCCTTTGGTTGCATTAACTAATCATTTGGAAATGGAATAAAAAGAAGCCGCTGAGTATCAGGGTGATGGAGGAGAACTCTGGGTCTGGGTCTGCTTCCATTATTGTTAGCCGCAAATTATCCCCAGAGATGAACAAAAGGAATCACAGAGGAGGAGGGTAAGAAGATGAAATCACTGAGCTGAGAGGAGTGAGGGCATTTCTCTTGCCTGCTGTTCTCAGTCTCTCCCCACAGATCCCCAGTCGGCTCAGGGAAAGGTGAACCCAAGGGCACATGTGAAGTAGAAATGATGCATTTTAACGAGTGAGGGTGTCACTGCCAAATCCCCTGCCTGCATCTGTGCCCTAGAACATAAGTGGGAGGGCAGCTGAGGAAATGCAGCATCCCAGTGAATCTATGGGAGCATTTTGGCCCAGGAAGGGTGAAGAGACAAAAAGAAGGAAAGAGAAATAAAAAGAAAGAACAGCCTCTGAAAACGTGATTATGAATAGCACTATTTTAATTACAAGTAAAGACACTGACTTAATGTCACAGAAAAAATAGTCCTTATTACAATATGCATATAAGTCTAATTTTCCAACTGTGTTCACTTAACTGTTGTCATTTCCATTCTTATATCAACTGTACAATGTTTTTGGAGATCCATAAGGAAACAAAGATCAGAGAAATGGGAATATCGAATCTAGGGAAAGCATAATGGATCAGAGCTACGTGTTCCTCATTGAGCCAATACTTGAGAAGGAGAAACGGAAACCCAAGAAGCATATGCGGACTGACACAATATTCATATACATGGGCAATTTCCAGAAAAACAAGGGGGATTCTTCATGGAACACCGTTACTGAGGGCAGGGGCTACCAAATGTGGGGAGGGCAGTTTCGAATGCACTTCCTTTGTTTCACTCCATGTGCCTGAGCTGTGTATCTACTGCTTTGCCACATAGAAACCAAAACATCAGGATGGAAGGGCTTTTGGAGAGCTCACTCAAGGCTATTACCATCATTTCACAAATGAGGAGACTGAGGCCCAAAGAGAGAGAAAAGGACTTTCTCAAAGTCACAACACTATTGCTGGTAAGGATAGAAGGAGAGGCAGAAGCCAGGTTCCTGATTTTTGATTCAGTGTTTGCACTCTAATCCACAGGTCTGTTCCACTATCCAAGGTCTGTAGAGCACTCAGTCTTTCACAAATCCCTGTCACTATATACATTATCCTCCCACCAATTTGGAAGACAGGAAGAACTGTCATCCCCATCAAAA